GCTGTTATAAATTCACTGTAAACCACGGCTTCTTGGGGCTTATTGCTTTAGTAATGTAGTTTACATACAAAATGGTTTCGGTAAAATGTGTAAAATATATATATATATATATATATTTGTTTAAAAAATTACCTACTCATAATTAAATGGCATTGTTGAATGATTATAACTGTAGCTGAGAGATAGCTAAGAAGGTCAAGACTTCTGAAGCTGAACAGGCCAAAATGCCCATTTTAAATCGGGTATGGTGTACATACAGACATTTGATTTATTTAAACCTAGATAATGTTTTATGCTGTGTCAGTGTTTCTGTTATATCATAAATGATTTGTTATGTCTAATATGCGTCACTGCCAAAAACATGGGATTTGTGCCTCTCTTTTAAGTGATACTGTTTTCTTCTAACAGTTCAAGAGTTCCTCATGGAGGATTTGCTTTTCTTCTGGGCGGCAGCGGTCTGCAGAAGTTTACTATTGCCGCTGTGCCCTACACATCAAACCTACTGCCTACCTCTAGTACATGGTAAGAGACAGATGGATAGTGTTGTTCAGATAGAAACACTAGGGGGCAATGTGGCTCTTCTGATATTTCTGAGCTGTAAACACAGAGCTGCTTTAAAACATAATGATGAAGAACTGGAAGAGTGACAAAGACTAACAAATAGAAAAAAAAGTGTGTGTAATGAAACCGGTTTGACTCTCACAGTGCAGCATCACTTACCGATCTCTCTCTCTTCTCCTAGTATTAACATGCTGAAACTCCCAGAATACCCCAGCAAGGACGTCCTGCGTGATCGTTTGCTGGTTGCACTGCATTGTGGGAGTTACGGATACACCATGGCGTGACGCCGGCTTCTGCGTTTGCTGAGAATTCTGCTCTGTGGACACACGACGCACGCATGGCTCAGTTCAGGGATTCTTCAACACTTCGATTCAAAAGCCTTTATATTTTATTTATTTTTGGCACGAGGAAATTTATGACAGGGACATCAGTGAATAATGACATGAATTAATGATACTTCAGGCACTGAGGCTGTTTTGTATGTGTGAAAAAGATGTTCAGGTCACATTTCGCAGTAAATTCAAAATAAGGATTTTTTTCTTTAGTTTTTCATTGCTGTAATACTCATTTTTCTATATTACACCAAATGCAATACTATTATACATTTTTTAAATTAGAATTAATATTCATTTTTCTGTATTACACCAAATGCAATACTATTATACAATTTTTTTTATTAGTAGTAGTATTATTATTTATTAAAATCCTTTAAAATATTACTTTTATTCATATGTAATGTACACACACACTTGACAATTCCCCCCCACACACACACAATCTAATTCATCATAAAAATAGGTTATGCATTTGAATATATTAATTTTTTGGTGAAATATGACCTAGACATGCTCTTCACGGGTTTCTTGAGTTTCACTCTTACATATTTGCCAATGACTGAATCCAAATGGCCTGTTACATGCAGAAATCATATTTCTTTTACATTAATAAATGTACTCCAGGCTGTATTATTTCAGTTATCTGATGCTGTTCAACTCATGCCATGCTTGAATTGCATGTGTGTGCGGATGCATGTGAGACAGTGAAATATCTATAGCTTGTATCACAACTGACAGCTGTCAACACATTATTGAAAATTGTAATTTTGAGCAGTTGTATTTTTTGTTTTGTTTTATTTTTCTGTTGCGTTGTTGTATTGGTCGTGTAATGAAACCGGTTTGACTCTCACAGTGCAGCATCACTTACCGATCTCTCTCTCTTCTCCTAGTATTAACATGCTGAAACTCCCAGAATACCCCAGCAAGGACGTCCTGCGTGATCGTTTGCTGGTTGCACTGCATTGTGGGAGTTACGGATACACCATGGCGTGACGCCGGCTTCTGCGTTTGCTGAGAATTCTGCTCTGTGGACACACGACGCACGCATGGCTCAGTTCAGGGATTCTTCAACACTTCGATTCAAAAGCCTTTATATTTTATTTATTTTTGGCACGAGGAAATTTATGACAGGGACATCAGTGAATAATGACATGAATTAATGATACTTCAGGCACTGAGGCTGTTTTGTATGTGTGAAAAAGATGTTCAGGTCACATTTCGCAGTAAATTCAAAATAAGGATTTTTTTCTTTAGTTTTTCATTGCTGTAATACTCATTTTTCTATATTACACCAAATGCAATACTATTATACATTTTTTAAATTAGAATTAATATTCATTTTTCTGTATTACACCAAATGCAATACTATTATACATTTTTTAAATTAGAATTAATATTCATTTTTCTGTATTACACCAAATGCAATACTATTATACAATTTTTTTTATTAGTAGTAGTATTATTATTTATTAAAATCCTTTAAAATATTACTTTTATTCATATGTAATGTACACACACACTTGACAATTCCCCCCCACACACACACAATCTAATTCATCATAAAAATAGGTTATGCATTTGAATATATTAATTTTTTGGTGAAATATGACCTAGACATGCTCTTCACGGGTTTCTTGAGTTTCACTCTTACATATTTGCCAATGACTGAATCCAAATGGCCTGTTACATGCAGAAATCATATTTCTTTTACATTAATAAATGTACTCCAGGCTGTATTATTTCAGTTATCTGATGCTGTTCAACTCATGCCATGCTTGAATTGCATGTGTGTGCGGATGCATGTGAGACAGTGAAATATCTATAGCTTGTATCACAACTGACAGCTGTCAACACATTATTGAAAATTTTAATTTTGAGCAGTTGTATTTTTTGTTTTGTTTTATTTTTCTGTTGCGTTGTTGTATTGGTCTCTTGTGGCACACTTTCAGTTAATGGTCTGGAAAGTTCTTTACTCTCTCGTGATTATTGTGCCATATATATTTTGATGTATTCAAATGTATTTCGTTATATATGGGGTTGTCAGCATAGTCCAGGAATTCTTAATTTTATATTCAGTGTCTAAATTGTTTATGCGCAGTCAAGTTATTCAGTATGAATTATCAAATAATGTTATAGGTGTGCCAAATATTCTCACAAACAAATCATATAATTTCCTTTTGTAAAACAAGGACATGTCATGAAATGATTTTGGAAAGGGAAGTCATATCATTTTAGGAATGTATCATATATTTACTATTGGTTGTGGTTAAAGTGAAAATGTGTGTGTGTGTATATATATATACATATATATATATATATATACATTTATTTATTCTGATTTATCATGATTTTGGATTTAAATTTGTTTTTGTACTTGTAATAACTGTACTGTAAGTATACTGTACAATCTTTTGGATATTACAGGCGGGCATCAAAAATATATATGCTTTTTATTAAAAATGAACCTAACTGATGTTATGATGTAGAATTTGTGTTTAATCATATATATATATATATATATAAATATATATGTGTGTGTGTGTGTTGTGTATATTTATTTTTATTTTTTATTTTTTTAAGAAACCTCCATCACCAGGGTGCGGCAAATGTGTTCGGAATAATTTCAACATGTAGCTATGTAGTTTGTTGCTAGGTGGTTACTTGCTGCTCAAGTCGAAAGATTACCAAGATAGAAAGAAATAGCACGCCTCACCAATGATTCATGTCTGTAACTCAAATCACAGGAAGAATTCTTCCCGTAAGTGCATTATTTGAACAAAGCACTATCTCTTGAGCATGAGCAGTAGAGTGCTGTAGTGATGACGTATATTTGTAGGCCAACCAGAAGTTACAGTAACATCACCCTGGATCTCTTGGGGGAAAAAAAAAAATTTTTCCATTTGATTTTGGAATATTGCAGAAAATAAGCTCAGTGACCCAGTGTTCAAACTGTGTCAAAGCTCTTGGGGGGTCCCCCTAACCAG